AGAAAGAAATCATAAAAATTTTATTTTCGTTTATAGAAAACATAATAGTTTTAGGAATTTACAAAATTTACAAATTTGCTTATTGTTATGCGTATAAGGTATTATTGGTAATTAAAATGTAATTTTGATGAAGAAACAAAGATCTAGTTTTGATATTTGATCTATATATATATATATATATATACTTTCCATTGAACTAATTTAACAGTGAGCCAAACTTTGAGGTGACGCCAAGCAGTCTGCTGAGTTTTAATAAAGTCTGATAACTTTAATGTAATTTTAAGACTGATTTTACTTAAGTTTTAAACCTTAAATTAACTGTTTCATTCATTTTTCCATAATATAAAAATTATTTATAGCAGTGTTACGTATGATAAAATAAATGAACATCGCCGGGGCGACATCGTTGTATGTATAAAATATATAACTCTTGACGCCGCTGACTCCGCGGAACGAACACCAAGCGTGTGAACCAGAAGATTCCTGATACACACAAGCTATGGAATGGTATTGCTATCATAACATCGGGTCAATCATGTAGTCTTAGGTGTAGGTTATAAGTTTTAATATGTAGTTCTTATTATAATATACATATAAGTAAGTTTCGTAGTTTTCCTGAAACCTCTAGTTGATACCCTATATCATTACAGACTAGTTTGTATTCGCGACTTCGTGTTACCGACAGTCAGCGACATCTATCGTCCAATAGATTTTTCAGTTTTTTTATTTTTATTTGCTGTGTGCACAAAAAGATAAACATCTTTCTTTGTATAAAGTGCTAATTGGGTGCACACGAAAGTGTAGGAAATGTTTAAACAAAGCGATGCTTTAAATGTAAGTGTGTTATAAGAAAAAATATTACCAAAATTAGTATATTTGTGTGTGTGTGTGTGTGTAATGTAGCAATAAAACAACTGTCTTGAGGTGGACTTCTACGATAATTAATTAGTAACCAAGATATTTGTTTAAATTAAACTAATCTATTTTTTTATTTTTGACTAGCTGACCCGGCGAACTTCGTATCGCCCTATAATCAAGAAATATCTATTACGTTTTTTTATTTATATTTTTGGAGTTTACCTATTAAAGCCATAAATCTCCGTGTTTTGAAGTGCGACAGAATTATTGACATATAAGTTAGCTGTCAAATCTAATGTCCAAAAAAAACGTTTGTATGGGAAATAGAAAAGGGCTGTTTTTATGGTTTTCCCAGTAATGAATCAATTTTTTTCAGCTTTTATACCTTCCCTGAACCTCCACGAACATTTCAAGACTAAGATAAGATAAATCCGTTCAGCTGTTCTCGAGTTTTAGCGAGACTAAGGAACAGCAATCCATTTTTACTTATATGTATAGAAGACTATCTGTCTGTCCGTGATCACGGTTGTAAAGTAGCCGAAACGTCGCCGAAAAGTTTATCATCAAAAATAAAAATCCGAAAATATTAGTTTCATTTAAATGAATACTCGCGAAAATCTTAGATCTGATTAAGATATTTGTTGTTGAAAGACCTAGTATAGTATAGTATTGTATATTATTGTGCCTTATATATCAATACTTGTATTGTAGTTACAATACAATAATATATCCTTTATATTGAAGGGTAATAAGCTTAGTGTTCGCCCACGATGTGAGTATTGAGTACAGTCGCGCACGAAATTTATATATATATATATATATATATTTATTAGAATTTCTGTCGATCTGTCATTACAACAATCTCTAAAACGCCTGGACCAGTTTTGACGAGACTTTATCTTGCTGAAATTTGACTTTTTCTAATTTTTTTGAGTATCTTAATATAACAGTTTTTATTTTAATAGCATTCATTACTAATTTATATAATGTGGAAAGTAAAAAGGGGTAGTAGCTTAATTTAATAAAAAATGATAAGTCTGGAGATGTATAGAAGAATGTTTGTTATACCTACCAGCAAAACTACTGAACCAATTATAATTTTGAAATCACACAGTAATTGAGCGAGCGTGGTGATTAATGTTCAAACCTTCTCCATGTGAGAACAGGCTCAGCAGTGGGCTCTGATAGGATGATGATGATGATATAGTATTAAAGTATTATTGGATGTGATACGGCAAACGTGGCGTGTAGTAAAATGCAAACATATGGTAAGAGTGCAAGTGTATTTTATATGAATTCACGTAAAGGAGTTTGTAAATATACTAGTAGTAAGGATAAAAATTCATTTATTTATTTATTAATATATTGAATACTAGCTTTCCGCCCGCAGCTTCGCCCGAGTAGATTTCGGTTATATCGCGTTTCCAAGAGACCCTATCAAAAGTCTGGGATGAAAACTATCCTATGTTCTTTCTCTAGGTCAACTCTATCTCTGTACCAAATTTCATTAAAATCAGTTCAATAGTTTAGGCGTGAAAGCGCAACAGACAGACAGACAGAGTGAATTTCGCATTTATAATATTAGTATTGAAAAAAGTAATTTTCTTCTACAAATATTACAAGAAGAGATCACTTTAAAATGTCCTAATTAATAAAACTTGACTGCCTCTGTAAAATATTGCTCTATGATAACGGACAGACAGATTTAATAATATATAAAATAGAAAGGAAAATTATTTCAACCGAACATTTTAATATAGCTAAAATAAATTTACTTATTTTTCCATGAACAGTCCTTAAGGGCTTTTCTTTGCGTCAGTAGCAATATTGCGGACTACGTTCAACTATTGGTATAGGTTAGGACAAGCACAGAGATTACTATATATAAAAGAAAGTCGTGTTAGTTACACTATTTATAACTCAAGAACGGCTGTACGGATATGGATGAAGATTGGTGGAGAGATAGATTAGAACATGGAGACGGACATAGAATATTTAATTCTGTTCGATCCAAAAAAAAATACTTAATAAATTCGAATTTGTCATTATTTACGTCCTCTAGGTCGGAATAGAGTTCGCCCGGTCAGCTATACATATATTACTAATGACGAAATTCACGCGGACGAAGTCGCGAGCAAAAACTACTAATAAAAATCTATATATATAAGTATTTACCTAAAATAAGTGATAATCATTTGAAATAGTTATATATTAATAAAAATATAACAACAAATTAAAATTACTTCTAATAATCGTTTAAAATTGATTCAATATTTTTGTTCAATAAATTTGTATTTATATATATATATATATATATTTGTTACGTCTGTATCTAGCTGCTCTGTGGCCACCCTTGCCCACCATAAATGACGGAGAAAATGGAAAAGTCCCCTCAAGTTATATCCTCGCACGCGGCTCTGTTCATGGGGAATTGATGGTATTGTGGAGCTATTTGTAGTTTATTTGTTTGCCACTGAATGAAGAAACGCTTAATAAACTACAATATTGTAGTGCAGTAGCCTTTTAGTATATTAGAGAGAAAACTTACTTAGCCTGTAATGAGATTTGAGATTTTCGAGAGTTTTACTCTCTATCTCTATTCTATCAGTCTATCAGAGCCCACTGCTGAGCCTCTCCTCACATGGAGAAGGTTTGAGCATTAATCACCACGCTTGGCCACGGGTTGGTGATTTCAAACTTATAATTTGATATAAGTCCATGTTTCCTCACGATGTTTTCCTTCATCAGTCAGTGATGTCTAAATACTCTTAAGTACATATAACTCCGAAAAATCACATTTGTACTTGCCAAGGTTTGAACCCGTACCCTAGGCAACCAGAGGCGGGTCCCTTAACCACTAGGCCACCACTGAATGTTACTGAGTTTTACTCATTTAAAAACTAATATTTTCTCATTACTATGCGTTTTTTATTATTTTGAAGTCATATTTGACAAATAACAGAATCAACTGACGGATTCACATCTCGTCTTAAAGATCACGGTTGTAAAGTAAAAACGTTGGGAGTATGTAGTTTATACATATAATAAAATTGTAGAAAAGTGCTGTCTGTACATTGAAAATAAAAATAAAAAAATAGCAGGGGTTATTGTTATGTCGATGTCGAACCCAAAAATGTAATTAACTTTTTTTTGTCTGTTTGTCTGTTCACGCTAATCTCAGAAACGGCTGATCCGAGTTGGATGCGGTTTTCACGAATATATTGTGGTATGCTTCAGTTATGCTCTAGTGTTTGTTTCATGTCAATCGGTTCATAAATAAAAAAGTTATGTCAAATTAAAGAATCACGTCGAACACTATTCTATGCTTATACATACATAACTAAATGAACTACCCAAAATGACTGTGATTATGATCCAAAATAAAAATAAGTATATATTTAAAAAAAAACCGCTGCTCATAGTCACTATTCCACGCGAACGAAGTCGTGGGCACAGCTAGTTTAAAATATTAAAAAACACGTAGTAATCTGAAAATATTAGTTCAATTCAATTTCTTTATCACAAAGTACTGCATCTGCTTTTTATTAATACGCTCCATATACTTTTATTGGCCATCTTACCACGAGTGCATCGTCTAACTATATTTGTCGAGTTCTTCATTATTATACCTACTCACATTATAGTAAAAACGAAGGTTTATGAGTGACAAACTCGAAACTGTAGGTAACAAGTTAAACAATGCAAACATATGGTAGGCAATGATTTTTTGAATCAATGTTTTATGTCGCATTTAAAGTAAGTTACGTAAAAGAAAAGTAAGTAAAGTAAATCTATTTGTGGACATGGTTTAAATCAAATTTGGCATAAGTGCTGCATAAATACATTTAGGTGGTAGAGCCTAGCTGTGGTCAAGTTACTACAGCTCGAACATGGTCTGTCTCTTTGAAGTACCACCCTCTCACTGAAGATCGGCGTGAAGTAGACTTTAATGGTTTGTCTGATGAGTGAGAGAGACGGTTGCTCTTTCCTACCTCTCTCTCTCTTCCACAATCAAGCTTGGCAATGCATCTACAACATCTTTTATATTGCAGATGTCCATGGGCGACGGTAACTACCTTCCATCAAGTAGGCCATCTGCTTTTTGACTCCTTTCATAACAAAATACTACTATCTATACTTACAGCCTGTGGGCATCAACGGGCAGTCTCCTAGGCGCATGCAGCAGGGCACGGTGGGCGCAGTCAGCGGCACCTGGGCGGCATGAGCACGCCCACGGACACGCAGCGCCCACGGCCAGAACGCACGACAGAACTACCAACAACATCTTACGGCATCTGAAACAAAAAATAGGAAAATTAATACACCATTTGTGGCGGCCTAGTGATTAAAGGTCTCTCATGCATGAGGGCGCGGGTTTGATCCTGGCAAGTACCAATGTGATTGTTACCAGTCATATGTACTTTACAAGAGTATTTAGACATCACTGACTGATGAAGGAAAATATGAGGAAACCTGGACTTATATCAAATTATAAGTTTGAAATCACCAACCCGTCTTGAGCGAGCGTGGTGATTAATGCTCTAACCTTCTCCATGTAAGAAGAGGCTCAGCAGTGGGCTCTGATAGGCTGATGATGATGATGTCTAACTAATATCATATAACAAAATCAACGCGGAAAAAGTCGCGAGCAAATATTAGTTATATCATAAAGAAATATATAGCTTTATGTATATATATGCCTCTACAATGTTTTTAACTTCGGACTAAGCTCTTACTTACAGTTTTTTACTCCAAACTGTCAGTTTGTAGTCACTTATAGTAACTTCCTTACTACATACACGAAGTAATGTCTTCATCAAACGTTTTAAAAAGCCCCATCAATCATCATTATCTTAAATTACTTTAAACTATTACGGCCATACTGTTAGTATGCATGTTTTGTATACAAGATATAATATTGTTATATTTATGAGTAATAATGAAATAAAATAATTAACTTGTGGCACACAATTAATGCTTCAATGTAGACTGACTACTGTCACAAAAATTATTTGACTACCTACTATCTGAATTTGTTACAAATACTATAAATATATACATTTATTTATATATATACTATCTGTTTTACCATATAAAAAATAGAGATTGCTCACAAAATTTCATCAAAATCGATCCAGCCGTTTCGTAAGAGTTCTCTGTCTAACGCGACACGAGTATATTATATATATAGACAGAAAGATAAAAGTTTACAATTAATATTGTTTAAAAGCTTAATTATCAATAGCCAGCTTAAAAGTTAAGCTTGTAAGCTGTGACGTCATTCTCGAGCTATAAAGCTGTGTATAGCTTCAAGTATCGAGAGTTACGGAGCTATTTAAAGACAAACATACTCGTTATCAAAGACTGCTACCGAAATACATTGAGAGGGAACAGATTAAGATATGAGATGCTTCAAATACAGATATATTAATAATGATCATTTATATGAGAAAATTATATATATATATATATATATATATATATACATATATATAATAGTCAGTGGTGTCCTAGTGGTTAAAGGCCCGCCTCTCATGCATGATGGCGCGGGTTCGATCCTGGCCCGGGCAAGTACCAATGTGATTTTTCCGAGTCATATGTACTTTCTAAGAGTATTTAGACATCACTGATTAATGCATTCCCAAAGAAGGTTGATGTCAGGCAGGCGGCCGGTCGTAAAAACAATTAGCCAAAACTATTCACAACATGTAAGGCAGACCCTGGCTAAAGCTGGGAAATTGTCAGGTAGAAGATATTTTAAATAATATTAATTACTCTTTGTCTTCCTTTAAAAATATTAAAAGTATTACAAATTCAAAATAGTAACTGTATATTAATATAATATAACCTATTATAAAATCATTACTATGCCGCCATATATTTTATTTACGATCAAAAATATATAATTAAATAATTTTATTAATTTAAAATTGATACAAAACACAAAATTATTTAGCAAATTAACCCAAAGAAGTACTTGTGTATATTGACAAAAATGCAAGAACGAAATGGCGGGTGTATAATATTTTTTGACAAAATTAATAAATATGACGAAACCTATCACAATATTATAAATATTGTATCAGGAATTTGGACTTTATGTCATTCTTATAAAGAACATAATACGATAATTATAAGTACATATAAATTATAATAATTGTTTTCGTTAAAGATATGTACTTATATTAAAAAATACTCTATCTCCATCTCTGTCTATCTCTATCTATCTCTCTCTCTCTATATTCATATTTTATAAGTGTGTAAAGTCGGGGCAGATGGTTATACAAAAGATTCTTTGGCAGCCATAATGAATGAAACTCAAAGGTCAAACGAGGTCATATCGATCATATAATTATATACACTTAGCTTCAAGGACGTCAGAACTTCATCTATTAATAAAAAACTTAAAAATAATAGCTTAAATTAAAATTTAAGCATACATTATAAAGCGTTCGTTGTACGGATTTAATTCGCTCTCGACAGTTTTCAACTAGTGTTGTAAATACCGCATTAATTCCCATTAATATTTCAAGCGCCAATTTCCCGCGCTAATTGCTTTTAACCCCGATGCCGGTTAATTACCGCCGCCATTATCCTCCAATGGGATCCGAGCTGTTAAAAATTAAAAAAGCATTCAGCTGTCAAACACTATTGTTCGAAATTTGAATTCACACCTTAGTGCTTCTTGTCACGTCACTGACATTTATGAGTTGGTAACTACAATTGAATTTAAAGCATATTTGTATACAATTAGAGTCGATTTTTATTTGTATTTAATTCATTATATTTATTGCTCCAAATCCTTTAAGTATCTATCAATTGATTTTATGACCTATATTAATGAAATTATGATCGATTTTCCTTTGAAGTTTTATTTCATATTCGATTGATTTTTTAATATAAATCTTAAGTTCATTTTAAAATCCCTTTGTACGAGTTTTATTGAAATTTCAGCTTTAATAAAGTAGCATTAGGGTTGTTTTTTCTTTGGTGATTTTAAATCCGGTCTTCAGAAGGTGATCTGACGTTTCAATTAGTGCTTTCCAAGAACACTGTTTATTTGTCTCAGTGTGAAGCCAGAGAAAGCTACCGAAGTTTTATTGTTAAATAATAATACAATTGTTATGCCTTTTGTTCATTTTTCTTTGGTTTCATACATATAATAAAGAAATCAGGTAGGTATATATGATTCTTCTTTAAAATATTACGTAAATACTAAATATATTTCGATGCATTATTAAAAAAATAAATGAGACAAAATATTGTAATAGTATATTCGGTTTTGGATTTAATTTTTAAAAAGATTTTTATGCAATATTTATGAAAAATAAAAATAAAATGGAATTGCGAATGAAAGACCTTTATATTATTTTATCAGAATATCAATTATGTTCTTATAAATTGATTCCCGCCTTTTTCTGATCACAAAATGGCCGCTCTCGTGTACAATATAAACATAATAATTTAAATATTTAATTGAATATAGACATATTTTATATATATAAAAGAAAGTCGTGTTAGTTACACTATTTATAACTCTAACGACTGTACGGATATGGATGAACATTGGTGGAGAGACAGATTAGAACAAGGAGACTGACATAGAATATTTAATACTGTTCGATCGAAAAAATACTTAATAAATTCCAATATCTGGTTATTTTTGGCTTCTAGGTCAGAATATAGTTCGCCCGTTCAGCTATACATATATTACTAATGACGAAATTAACGCGGACGAAGTCGAGTAAAAACTAGTATATAAATAAAATAGTCTTAGAACATGTGGTTTTGACAAAAAATTCTATATTCAGTCAATTTCAAGGTAATTTTTAACGTAGTAATTTCGATTAGCGTTACCAATAAATAATTCGGGGTACATTGACCCCATTCAGTGTTCAATTGCTTCGATTTAAAATTGTATTGACTCGGAAGATGAGTGGGGTGAAGTAAAGTCTTCAAAAAGATGTTTTAGACTCGAAATAAATATAAAATATCCTTACTAATATTATAAATGCGAAAGTAACTCTGTCTGTTTGTTACGCTTTCACGCCTAAACCACTGAACTGATTTTAATTAAATTTGGTACAGAGATAGAGTTGACCTAGAGAAAGAACATAGGATAGTTTTTATCCCAGACTTTTGAAAGGTTCTCTTGGAAACGCAATATAACCGAACTCGACGCGGGCGAAGCTGCGGGCGGAAAGCTAGTATATAAATAAAATATAAAATTATTATTAATTTACAAATTTATATGACTTTTGATTATTCATTTAAATGAAACTAATATTTTCGTGTTACTATACGTATTTTATTTTCATGATTTTAAAATAACCGAAACGTCGGGAGTGTGTAGTTAAAATACTAAAAAACGCGTAGTAATAAAAAATATTAATTCCATTTATAGTTCATACTTAAAAAATCTCTAAAAAACTATACTTTTGACCATTCTTAGTGTAAAAAATATATTCAAAAATGTAAAAGAATTATTAAAGCTAGTGGTGGCTACATTGAATGACCTGTTTCCAGGCTACATATGAAGAAATAAATGAACATCGCCGGGGCGACATCGTTGTATGTATAAAATATATAACTCTTGACGCCGCTGACTCCGCGGAACGAACACCAAGCGTGTGAACCAGAAGATTCCTGATACACACAAGCTATGGAATGGTATTGCTATCCTAACATCGGGTCAATCATGTAGTCTTAGGTGTAGGTTATAAGTTTTAATATGTAATTCATATTATAATATACATATAAGTATGTTTCGTAGTTTTCCTAGAACCTCTGGTTACCAGCCTATATAATTTGTGAATCAAATATTAGTCATTTTATGTACTCAAAAATAATAATAGTGATTGGAGTACCTTCGAATGGAAGAAGTAAAACTTCGTAATAGAATGAAAACAGGAAGGACATAGAATGTGATTTTTAATGAATTTTTATTGTTTCTTTAAAATAAACTTTATTAATATTACTCACAAGTCACTATTGATAGCTTGCGTTCGAGCGACACACATTCACTCTCACTCTTTTTATCCCCCAAGCGTTAAACTTTTAACGCAACCTTGTTGAAAGTTGCATAAAAAGTTTAACTACAATGAGTAAAAAATATCATGATTTTTGGTTGTTTTATGACAGTCTTTTCCTATAATATAATACGTTTTATGTAGATTAGAATCCCTACTAATATTATAAATGCCAGAGTAACTCTGTCTGTCTGTCTGTTGCGCTTTCACGCCTAAACCACTGAACTGATTTAATGAAATTTGGTACAGAGATAGA